GTGCATGTGCAGTGACAAGTAAAAATCACGAGTTTAAAATAGCGACTAATGTATGCAAAATGCCAGTCAATCACAGTTTGAGTAAGCGAGCACAAATAAGCACTCATTTACTTTGTGGACAGAGGCGGAGTTAATTACCCATGAGCACGTGGTGCAATCCATAGGATTGAGCGGGTTCCCCTTTAAGAAATTCATAAAATATTACAGCTGTATAATGGAAGTTCTGAGCGTGATCTGAGTGCAATATCAAATGAAGAAAGGTTTACTGTTGATTTTACCAGTACTATACGTCTTTGTCAACCAAATTATGTTTTTTGGCCATCGCCTCGCTGCTTTACCTTGGTTGAATATTGTCCAGCAATTAAAGTGTGCCTTCTTTGCAGGTTCAACATATCCCATCCTTTTGTTTTTAATTTTATGTCCATCTACGCTATGACAACTCTTATTAGGTGTATGTTTTACAGGCATGTTTTTTCAATCAGATTACCATTAATCATAATTATTCAAAATGTTATGTCATAGTTGTGTTTTTTTCCTTATAGGAAGAACAAGTGGATCTTCTGTGCACACCCGAACATTCATCTCAGAGTGAGCAACCGCGTGCCCCAATAAAGCACAGTGAAAACATCGGACAGAGCAATGTGAAGAGAAGACTAGATTTGGGCCTAAGTGTTCCCTCTCTGAAGAAGACTAAAATATCTAAAGTTGATGGTGATGATATCATAGATTAAACATGTTAACTGCTTCACTAAGGCTGAGAAAAATAAATATCTGTTTCTCGTTTCCAGGCGTATCATTTTGAACTATGCACCTCAATCGTTTTTTTCCTTCTAAAGCATTCCAAAATGTGCTTGTAATCGCACTTGTCTCCAATTTCCCCCATTTTAGCTCAGTATTCAAAAAAAAAAAACATCGCCTGATTTCTAAAATTTCCATGAAACAAGAAACAGATAATTTTTTTTTGCTTGCCTAACTATTGTTATTTATTATGGCCCAGCATAAAGTAGACCAATTCACTATTTCCTTTTCTGTGTTTGAACATACTGGTATGGGACACTGTAATGTTTTGTACCAATTTAAGATCTCATTGACATACCATTTTTGTGAACATATCAATTTTGAGATTGGCAGGTAAATAATAACAATAAGTCATGAATATAACAAAACAGATATAATTATTTATGTCATTACTGAGTTATCCTGAAAATTTATGTTTTTGTAGATTATTGAATGTGAGCAAAGTTTCATTCATTATCAACTGTGTTTTAACTATTTTGACTGCTGGATGCACACTTCAACACCCATTTGTTTGCTTTTCCTTGTTGAAGACGACATTATAATCACAATAAAATGCTTTAAATTATGTTTAATGAGTAATATTCTTCACATTTTGTGTGGATTTGAATTAGTTTTAAAGTTTATTCTGCATATAAATGATCATGAAGCAAATGCATATATCCAATTTAATGAGTTTGATTTTGCTTGTCACTGACTATTAAACATTTATATTTTGAATATATCAGTAACTTTATTATCATTAACAAATTATGTGTAAAATTATTCTTCGATAATTTCTTAAATCAATTGCTAAACCACACGATAACAGTGAATATTGTGTTTTTCATTGCCTAGTTAACCTGTTTTGTTTCTTATAATAACATTTTAATAATTTAATCTAAGAATTTTCATGAGTCCAAACTTTGGAATGTGAAATGTTCTCTGCTACAATATATATATATATATATGTACAGAGAAATTAAGACACGACTACATGAGTAAAGTTAACTCTACAGTACCTCCCTATATATATATATATATATTTATAAAATATATTCCACATTATTGCCTTAATTTGGTGCTGCATATAAATTTGAAATATTCTAATATTGTTTAGTGAAATAAGGCAGTATTTTGTATTAATCTTGTATGCTTGTGTGTTTATTAAATTACCAAACGCACTTGCATATACAAGTGGTACATAAGTTTCTTTGTTGGAACAATAATTTATATTTTCAACTTAGTGTTATGTTTCTTCTGCTTTTGTTAATAGTCTGAATATTGATGTTCCTAGTCTAGTTCTCAAATATATTGTTTGTGTGTAACTACTTAATCTCCAGTGTTTGCTAATAAATTTATCTGTGTCAGTACTATTATTCCCTCATTCACTCAGATGATTTTACTGTGTGAAATGTTAGATCAATTAAGCCTTGTGGTAGCATAGTTATGGCAGTAAACTGGTTTTAGTGATCCTGTAAAATTAACTTTCTATATTAAACCAGGTAAATGTATGTATATTTGAGAACGTTAGCTACATACCCCCCCCCCTCCAATTGGAGTTATATTAACCTTTGACATTTGACCATAAAATCTAACAAAGTACTGTGGTTCACATCTGTGTAAAATTTGAAGGCGATAGCTATTTTCCCCTGGAACTCTATTGCACAATTTAATCAGCCTTTTGTCTGAAAAAAAAGAAAACCAGGTGTAGCTCACACAAGTTGACAGCTTTATCTATTTTTTTTTCCATTGTAGTTCTTTTGCATACTTTGACCTTTAGTCAGGAAAATATAAATATAACTTGCGATGAGGAATATGTGTGTCAAGTTAAAGGCCATAGCTATCCCCCTTGTAGTTGTATTGTGAACATAAATTAATGCTTACTATAACATTCACCTTTTGTACATAAAATGCAACCACGTCCTACAAATCGCATGATGCACCAAGTTTGAATGTGCTAGTTAGTCCCTGTTTTCGGACTTGAACTTCCGGGTCTAACTACTAACACATTCAAATTTGGTGCATCATGCAATTTGGGTTTTGTCCGTTCGTGTGTCCGTTCGAAGCCATTTCTCAGACACCCTTTGACTGATCTCGTTCAAACTTGGCATACAGACAATGTATGATGACCTACATATGCATGCCAATTTTATTAAATATGGCTGACTGGCAGCCATTTTGCCCCTCAAATTTGCTAAATTCTGATTTCAATCAAACTTTGTATGGTGATCATGCATATTGGGTTATAGGTGCATATCACTTTTTTTTTGAGATTTGGTCTAAGATGGCCGACTGGTGGCCATTTTTTTTTTTTTTTTGTGTGTGCTGATTTGGAGCTGAACAGGGCGATATGGCCTGATTCAGTTCAAAGTTGAATAGGGCATTTTCAATCAAACTTTGCATGATGACCTTACATATTACGGTGCAAGCCATGTTTCTTTTGGAAATACTTGAACAACAATACCCGACTGGCTGCGTTTTTCTTTCCTGCTATTTCCTCTGTAAGATATAGTTCAATTCAGTTCAAAGTTTCCATGTAGGTACTATACTGACAGTAACACAATCTATAATCTGTGTTACGATAGTCTTAAAAAAACATTGATCTTTCATTTTTACATGTCACATTTACATCGACTACTGCTAATACTTAACGGGGACTATGCATTATCAATGCTTGTTATTTTTCCCTTGAATTTGAATTGAGATCTCCATAAAATGTTACCACGTCTTGCAAGTCACTTGGGATCATATGTACCAAGTTTGAAACTTATTTTTCTTCTGAGATATATTGCAAAACACTTGTGTCTGAGCAGTACAATTTTCTGCTGAACATCAGGATACAGGTATAGCTATAATGCATCCTCGTATATTTGCTCAAAATCTTCTGGAAACCTAGATTTACTTAACACATACCGGTACTACACAACTGCTAACCACTAACATGTTGTTCAGTTCTGCATTTTATCTATAGCCGGATGTACCTATCAATGAAACCAACTCTGAAAATTTTATTGGAAAATTTAGCTTTCACACTGTTCAGTTATTTACACTTGTGTAACTTAATATTTCCTGTAGATTCGATTTTAAAATATCATGGCAAGTCGTGGGTCATCGGACATTTCACATTTTAACTTATTTACAGTCATTTACCCGATATTTGTATTCTTTCGTGAATCCAGATTCAGAATCATTTCTTCTTACACCTTAATATATTATCCTGCATATGCACATAACATACAGTTCCTCAATGTATCAATCTCGCAACATTTTGAAATTGCTGTGCTATGCTGTCTCCAACACACATGAGTTTAACTACATCTGTAGCCCAGAAATTTCGACAAGGTGGTTTGCAAATTTTGTAGTTTTTCTATTGGATTTCCACATCATTGTTCCAAATTTATGTAAAATAAATTATACCTACTTTCTGTCTTAAGTTCATATTTTCTTTTTTTTAATGTGAGAAGTTAAATTTTATCCACTGATATGATCACTGATATTACCCAGGGTATTTTGTTGGAATTAGTTCGTGATCATGCACGCTCTTTCGCTCCCATACCCCATTCACCGCCTTTTACTCTCTCATTTTCACAGTATTATATGTTGCTTATTTAAAGTGGGAGGGTCGCCACCTGCGCACGTGCGGGAATTGAGTCCCAAGCGACGATAACA